TTATTTTAATTTCTCATATAGGTATTTGTATATTAATTACAAATATTTAATCTCAGTGGCTTCTTGTCTCAAATAAAAGAGGTGTTCGTAAATTGTTCTAAGTAAGGCAGAATTTTCATATGCCAAGAGATTCACACTTTTTAAAAGCAATTATAGAGATACTTTTTATTAATAGATGGTTTGTATAGACCCATATGATCCAATTTAAAATATCTAGGAATTAAAGATGCAGATGGACTACTTGAGATGATCACTGTGGTTAGTGATCCCTACATAGGTCAGTAAATGATAGAGATGTGAAATTAATGCCAATAACTCAGAATGAAACCCTCTAACTTAGTTCTTAGTTGACATTCACATTTTTTTTTCAGAGAGGTAGAGAGACAGGGTTGGGTGGCAGAGGGAGAGGGAGAGAGAGACTCTTAAGTAGGTTCTATACCCAGTGAGGAGCCCAACACAGGGCTTGAAGTCATGACCCTGAGACCATGATCTGAGCCAAAATCATGACCTGATGCTTAATCGCCTGAGCTAACCAAGCACCATCACAACTAAATATATATATATATATATATATATATATATATATATATATATATATATATATATTTAGATTTTATTTATTTACTTGAGAGACGGGGATCACAAGTAGGCAGAGAGAGAGGGGGAAGCAGGCTCCCCACTGAGCAGAGAGCCCTCTGCGGGGCTTGATCCCAGGACCCTGAGATCATGACCTGAGCCGAAGGCGGAGGCTTAACCCACTGAGCCACCCAGGTGCCCCATGACAACTCTATTTTTTTTTTTTAAGATTTTATTTATTCATTTGACAGACAGAGATCACAAGTAGGCAGAGAGACAGGCAGAGAGAGAGAGAGAGGAGGAAGCAGGCTTCCCGCTGAGCAGAGAGCCCAATGCGGGGCTCAATCCCAGGACCCTGTATCACGACCCGAGCTGAAGGCAGAGGCTTTAAACCACTGAGCCACCCAGGTGCCCCGACAACTCTATTTTTAAATGCTTACTCAAACTGCTACAACACGTCCAGCCTCTGGGATTCATGAATAGAATTCCTCTGTAAGTTTACTTTATCAACCCTACTGAGGCCTAGTCTTTGTAAATAACTCCACCAAACAGCCACTGTAGCAATGGAGGTCATAAAACCATGATTCTTGTCCATACCAGAAGCTCAAACACTGATCTGGCTGATAGTAGGTTCAAAATTTCTTGCTAAAAACTATGACTTACTATGATCACTTAATTTCCTGGACTACTAGAACCAAACACTTCTCCTATAGACTTTTCCTGAAATTGACTCTAGTACACATTCCTCAATATCCACCCAAACCATTTTATTGCTTGTGCTGGAATTAATGATATATCATTAGTATATATTTTTAAATATTCAACTTCTTTCCAACTTATTATTTCCACTTAGTGAACTACTCAAACATGCTTGTCTCCAGAGGACACTCATTTCCCCCAAATTATTTCAAGTGAAGTTTGTATTTGTTTTGCATCTCAAGGCCACTCTGTAAATATTTCTTCTTATTTCGTCAAAGCTCTCTTCTCATTTGAAAAACAAATGTTATTAGACTTTAACATGATTGTTCCTGTCCACTACTAATTTGGGAGTCATTCCGCCCCACATTTTAAAAGTAATTATTGACTCTATTGATGGTATTTCACTCCTGAAGTACTATTCCTGTCATTATTTACAATCACTTTAATATCCCTATACAAGATTGGTTCAAAATAGTCAACACTCTGGTCTCTTGGATCTTTGTGCTCCTCCATTCAATCATGCTTTCCTTCCCTAAACTAAACTAGTTTCCATGGTCTTAATCTACACCATAAGGTCACTAATAACTACACCATTTCCAGAACCTCACCCTCAAGCATCTCAGTGTCTTTCCAGATCACTGACCCACCATATTTCTATGCCATGCTGAAAAAATCTAGACAGCCATTATCATCACGTTCCCCAGGCTAGGTGTTTTGACGATAGGCACACCACAGAGAGGAAAAGTTGAATACACCATTCCATAGAGTCTTTCCTATTCAGTAAACATGGGGCATAAGGATTTCTCTTACTAGAGTGAAGGACATGGAAGAAGCTCACATTTGTTAACCTTTAAAAAGAAAACAAAGTACTTAAGTTGGTCACTTAAAATAGGAAGCTATATTTCTGTGCTATATTTCTGTACTATATTTCTGCTTCTAGATTTGTGTGGAGGTAGAAAAGATGAAGCTGGTCAACATGTCTTGCCTGTGTCTAGTACAAATGTGTCTGTACTAGAAACTTGGTCCTTATATGTTATATACAACAGAGCTCAGCATGTGAACTTGATAGGGAGGCCACATCTGAACCTGTTTTGGACGCTAGAGGAGAAAGTCAATAGAATTCCTTAGGGTTTGTAGACAAAGCCACATTTTAGCAAGTAACTATTCTATAGAGAAATAGTTTCTGACTTTTTATCAGGCTGTTTCTGAGACTAAAGTACTGAAGAAAAGGTACGTGATTATACCACCTAAGTTGTACATCATGAAAAAGATCTATCTGGCCACTGTGCCAAGTATGTCTAGCAGTCCTTCACCACTCCATTATCAAGTGTAGGTATTATTTATGCATGAGATTATACTGAGGCAGAACTTGATAGCATAAATCATGAATAAATTGCTGTCACATTTCCAATTCCACAAACTATATCTTTTGCATCATGAGATATTCTTTGTGTCCTGAATGAAAATTAAAACTCTAATTTCATAGTATGCTATTTCTGTTAATTGTGTAAATACACCTATAAATATATTCGTGGATATATACATACATATGTGTACATATATGCACTCATAGATGCAGCATATATTTGTAATCAGTAGGAAGATGAGCATATTTGTGTGTGTGTGAACTTTGCCTTTTCTTCATTTTCTATGTCTTTTGAATTTTTTTTTTTTTAAGATTTTATTTATTTGACAGAGAGAGAGAGATCACAAGCAGGCAGAGAGGCAGGCAGAGAGGGGAGGAAACAGGCTCCCTGCAGAGCAGAGAGCCCAACGCGGGGCTCGATCCCAGGACCCTGGGATCATGACCTGAACCAAAGGCAGAGGCTTTAACCTACTGAGCCACCCAGGCTCCCCTTGAATTTTTTATACTTACATATTACTTTAGATTTATTTTGTATGAGAAATATTAATGTTTTATTTGTGAATATCATACAAGATTTTTTCCCAGTTACTCCTTTTCTTGGACATTGCCCTTTTGTTTATTTGGTTTTTGGTCATGCAAAAGTTTCTGTTTTATTTTTATATAATATAAAACAGCAATAAAAAAATTGCATCTAGATTTTGGGTAAGAATTCAAAAGCTTTCCCAACATTTAGGATATAATAAAATATACCCAGGGTTTTTTTTTTTAATAATACCAAATCTATCTTAACACTTAGATCTTTGCTCCAATTTGTTTTATGTAGGGGTATAAGCAGTTATATTTTGATTCAGCTGTCATTGTGTCCAAATGACTATACTGTTATTTTCAAACTTTTGGTTAAAATATAATTTTCCTCAGTGATTTGAAGTGCCACCTTTGTGTACAGTAAATTTCCATGTACTTGTATTTGATGTTTTAGTTTGTTCCAAATATATAACTTTTTACAGGTCACCAATATAGTGTTTTAATTTTACAGACTTTATGGTATGTTATCCTAGTTCCCAACATTTAATTTTATTTTCAATATTTCACAGTTATCATTGAATGTTTATATTTTTCATATGAGCTTCAGAATAAAAGTGTCTACCTCCAGAAAAAAAATAGTATTTTTGTTGGTGGTGGTGTTGTCATCATTATTATTCCAACGCTACTGAACCAACATTAAAGTTTATCTAAATCAAAATTTTTCTGGATTGCATTTAATTACTTTGTGAATGGAGTAATCAAATTTAGTATGTAAATAACTTTGTAGTCTTGCACTAATTTAGTGTGGTTACATAATTCTTAATATTGCCAGATCTTCATAATATAACCCTTTTCTAACCCCTACCATATTATCTTGGGAGATGGAAAACAAAATATGAATTGAGACTAAATTTATTTATAAATCAAGAACCTTTCAAGATACAAGAAATATGTTTTTATTCTAGTTAGTAGGATATTAAAGAAGCTACTTTCTATGCAGATATAATATTTTTAATATTCTAAAATATGAATAATATTATGCCTTAAGAAATTCAAAGAATATAATATGGTTCCTGATAGAAAAGTACTTCACGGAAAACAAAATACTTCAAAAATGTTAAGTATTATTACCACTCTAAATACTTCACACACTATGTCTTCTTAATTTATTAATGAAATGGTACACTATTGAAATGATTCAATTTTAATAATGACTCACAAAATAAGAATGTCTTTGCTTTTATTAGGTGATCATTCAAACTACCAAGACAACTGCTCACAGATGAGTGACCAAGCAGGAATCTCACTCCCTTTTCCAGTGTTTACCTGCTGACAAATTTAAACATCATCCCTCTCCAACCTCTGTGTCCACATCTGGGTGAGCTAATATGAAAGCCTAGAGCTCTCTCCTGTAGAACCTGCAGGGAACCATGGAAGCCCCCACCTCACCCCTACCGCACACCCTTAACCACAATAAAAACTCCTGAGCCAGCCTCTTTTTCTAGTATTCTCCAGACACTTCAGACCTCCTTGAGACCCCTGCCCATATCACTACTTTTTTTTTTTTTTTTTTAAGATCTTATTTATTCATTCAGGAAGAGAGAGAGAGAGAGGAGAGCATGAGCTGGGGAAAGGACAGAGGGAGAGGGAGAGAGAGAGAATCTCAAGCTGGGTGTGCAGCATGACTCTAGGCTCAGTTTCACAGCCCTGAGATCATGACCTGAGCTGAAATTAGGAGTTGGATGCTTAACTGACTGAGTCGCCCAGGCACCCCTGTATCACTACTCTTGACATGTCAATCAAATTTTAGGGACAGGGCTCCCTGCTTTTGCAGGGTGACCATAATGGCTTGACTCCTGCAGGAACTAATTGATTAAGGAAGACAGCACAACAGCTGTATAGTTGGTAAATAACCAGAAAATTGGTCAGTTTTCTTTAATTACCTCAGTCTCATATGATGTTTAAAAAGTAATTCACATACACCTACTATCATTTTTCATATATGGTGAGGAGGTAAATAGGTCACAATAAAGTGGACTAAGATTAAAAAGGTCTGTACAATTTAAAAAACATGAAGATGCTATTTTCTACTCAGTTTAAATACATGGAATATTAAATATGCCTGCTTGGCATAAACTACCCTAATTGATTTAAATAACTAAACTAACATTAAATGCTTGATAAGAAAATACTAGAAATAAGACACATCTAATAGTCAACATTTCATTTACATAATGATTTCCTTCACAAAATGTTGTTTTTCTTTTCTTCATAATTCAGTGTAAATAAGGATTATCTCTATAATATATATCTCTTGCTGCAAGAAAACCTACCAAATATAATGGCCTCCTTTTTTATGGAAATATTTCTTTTTGAGGTTTATGGAATGGTAATGATAGGAACTAAGGTGTAAGGTTCTTTTATAAAACTTTCAATATCTTTGAAAATAGCTAATATCTTCATGACATTTAAATGTTGGAATAATAGTGTCCCTATTTAAAAACCTATAAATTGTTGCTCTCAGAATATTTTCAGATTTTTGTGTAGATGGAATATGTCTTTGTGTCTTAAAAATTTCTTCTCATAAAAATGTCAGTTGTGGCATGCACTGATTAATAAGGCTTGGAATAATAAATAGTCCAAAAGGTAAGTATCTAGAATTTAAGTATTCTTGGGGGAAAGGATTTTCAAATTATATGCCAAATCCTTTTTTTTTTAATATAATGCTTCACTGTTAATCATATATAATTTTTATTTTGTTTTAAAAGACAGATGCATACTGGGGCGCCTGGGTGGCTCAGTGGGTTAAAGCCTCTGCCTTCCGCTCAGGTCCTGATCCCAGAGTCCTGCTCTGCTCAGCAGGGAGTCTGCCCCCCCCCCCCCACCCACCCCCCACCTGCTTCTCTGCCTACTTGTGATCTCTGTCAAATAAATAAATAAAAATCTTAAAAAAAAAAGATGCATAAATTCTAGAGTATAAAAATTTTATTTGAAAAAATTCTCTAACTTCACAGGACACAACAAGCTTTTTGACCACAGTGGAGGTAAAAAACCTTCTTTTCCTTATTCTTCATCAAGAAATATCAGAATTCTTATAATCACCAGTAGATAGATAGCTTCTAGTTCTGGTTAATGGCTCCACTTTCCAAGCACAAGTTATGACAACTTAAACATAAGTATCCCTCATTGGATTCTTATCACAAAGAGGCAGAAAGATAGCTTTGCATTAAAAAAAAGAAAAAAAAAAGTTTTAAAGTTCTTTAACATGTTTACTGAGCAGACAGTGGTTCTAACAGGATGAATGTTTCTGTCCCTCTCAAATTCATATGTTTAACAGATAAACATAGGGAAAAGGAAAAAAAAAAAAAAAAGAGAGAGAGAGAGAGAGAGAGGGAAGCACACCATAAGAAACTCTTAACTATAGAGACCAAACAGAGTTGCTGGGGGGTGGGGGCGGAATGTGGGTGGGTAGTGCGCGAAATGGATGAGTATTAAGGAGGGCACTCGTGACAAGCACCGAGTGTTGTACGTAGTGAGGACTCACTGAATTCTACTCCTGAAACTAATAGTACACTGTATGTTAATAACTAGAATTTAAATAAACACGTGAAAAAGAAACAAAAATTCATTATGTTTAAATCCTAACTCGCAATATGATGGTACCTGGAGGTGTATAACCTTGGGAAGAGGTAAGGTAATGAGGGTGTAGCCTCCACGAATGGGATTAATGCCCCTGTAAAAGAGACTCAAGAGAGCTCCTCCCTTACCTCTTCAACCATGAGATACAGCAGGAAAATGGCTGTCTATGGTCTAGGAAGTGGATTCTCCCCAGACACTGAGTCTGCCAGTACCTTAATGCTGGAATTTCCAGCTTCTAGAACTGTTGAGAAGTAAGTTTCTGTTGTTTGTAAGCTGCCTAGGCTAAGGTGTTTTTGTTGTAGCAACCCAAACAAGCTAAGATAGTAATTGCTAACAGAAGCTCTGCTGTTACAACAAATATCTAAAAATGTGGAAGTGGCTGTGGAACTGGGTAACAGAAACTGGCAGAGTCTGAAGTGTGTGCTGGGAAAAACACCACCATGAGCAGAGAGAGGTAAGGGTGATTCTGTGAAGACTCTGAAAGAAAAAGAGAAATGTAGATAAAACCTTAATCTTCTTAAAGAATACCTAAATAATTGTGAGCAGATGTTGGTAGAGCTTTCCCACAAAGTCTATTTGGATGAGATCTCGGATGGATATAAGAAACATTTTATTTAAAACTTGAGGAAAGGGGGCGCCTGGGTGGTTCAGTGGGTTAAAGCCTCTCTCTTAGGTTCAGGTCATGATCCCAGGGTCCTGGGATGGAGCCCTGCATTGGGCTCTCTGCTCAGCAGGGAGCCTGCTTCCCCATTTCTCTCTGCCTGCCTCTCTGCCTACTTGTGATCTCTGTCTGTCAAGTAAATAAATAAAATCTTAAAAAAAAAAAAAAAAAAACGGAGGAAAGGATGGAGCACCTGGGTGGTTCAGTTAAGTGCCTGCCTTCCACTTGGGTTGTGGTCCCAGGGTCCTGGGATTGAGCCCTGAATCTTCAGGGCTCCCTGCTCAGTGGGGAGTCTGCTTCTCCCTCTCCCTTTGTCCATCCCCTCTATTCGTGCACTCTCTCTCTTGCTCTCTCAAATAAATAAATAAATGAATGAATAAATAAATAGACAAATCTTTAAAAAATAAAATAAAACAGGATGAAATGTTATCTTTGTTATATAGTGGGAAAGAACTTGGTTGAATTGTATTCATATCTCGGTGTTTTGTGGACTATAGATTTTGGGAGCAATAAAATTGAATATGTAGTTGAGGAAATCTTCAGTAAAGTGTTGAAGGTGTGACTTGCCTCCTCCTGACTGTTTAAAGCAGGATGTGAGGAGAGAGAAATGACTAAGAGATGATACTGTTGAGCAAAACAGAAGCAGAAGTTAAAGATTTGGAAAATTCTCAGCCTATTCATATTACAAAAAGATGAGGACGCTAAGGGTATTACCAAGCTATTGTTTGATGAGGAGATTAATATGATCTCAACAGAAGCTGGAGGTTATTTTCCAAGAAGATGGAAGAAGGGCCCCAAGGGTCATCGGGGCTGCATTTCTGTCATCAGCCTAGGATGCAAGGGTGTGAGAGATAAAGTGGTTTCAAAGGGGGAGCATCTTCAGGTGGGTGAGAGTAACCTCACCCAGTGCCCCAGGGGTAGAACTCCTGCAGAGAGTTGTGACATGAGTTGTGCTTAGCAGAAGTAAGTGGTCATCACTGCCTCTACCTAGATTTCAAAGGACAAGGTTACTGGTGAAACCAGGGACTCCAGATACCAAAGTTTAGACTGAGAGATTGGTGGGCATGAAACCCCTGGCAGTAGAGGCATGAGACCTCTGTCATTAGAGTCATGAGACCTAAACAGAAAGACACCATGGAAGCAAGGGCTAGCCAGGGAACCACTGCAGGTCCCTCCCCCTGAAATGTAGGGGTGATGTTGCCATTCCAATGGGTCTAGAAGTCAGCTCTTCAAACCAAAAAAGGATTGTTTTCAAGCCTTAAGTCATAATCTTGTTGCCTTAATAGGTTTTGGACTCAGTGGGACTTGTTACTCTTTTCTTTCCTACCTTTCCCTTTTGGAATGGGAATGTTTATCCTATGCTATCCCACTATTGTATTTTGGAAACACATAGCATATGCAGCTTCACAAAGAAAGAAATCTTTGTTATGTTTCCCAGTTTATGTTTTTGTTGTTGTTGTTAAAGCAGCTCAAAGAAAGACAGTAATATGAGTCTAATATTTCACTTTCCACTCTGGCTTACCAGCCTAGAAAATGTAATCAATTATTATTTTATTTTTAATTATCAGATGTTTCTTTTTCTAGAGAGTTGACACACGAACTATTTTCCATTTCACAGATCACACACATACACACAAATTCTTCTGCTGAGTATGCACAGTAAAGTTGTGAAAGATAGGAGTATTTTGCAGAAGCTTGGTTCATAGTTTCTAAATCTTTATCTATGCAAATCCAGAGTAAAGATTTATTTGAGAGATACCTAGAACAATTGGACATGGTATCAACTTAATAAACTAGAATTAAGGAAACAAAGAAAAGGAAGACAATATATGAAGGTAATATGTTAAAGAATGCATAAATACAATTTATCTTATTTTGGTTTTTCTGTTGTAACCCTAAGGATACTGTAAGTCAAATCTGCAACATACATTTAATAATTCAACTTAGTGTCATTGTAATAAGACTAGAGTCTAAAAACAAGTAAAAGAAGGCAAAGAGTAAAACATCTCAATTATCTTTTAAGATTATAATGTGATAATGTAATTTCTTATATTCAAAAAAGGTTACTTTTCTCATCAAACCTATTTTAGTTCATTTTTTAAATATTTTTTTTTCTAATTTTTAATTTATTTGACAGAGAGAGAGATCAGAAGTAGGAAGAGAGGCAGGCAGAGAGAGAGGAGGAAGCAAGGCTCCTTGCTGTGCAGAGAGCCCAATGCTGGGACTTGATCCCAGGACCCTGAGATCATGACCTGAGCTGAAGGCAGAGGCTTAACCCACTAAGCCACCCAGGTGCCCCATTTTAGTTCATTTTTTATTAGACTATTTTTTAGGGGAGTTTTTGGGTGCACGGAAAAATTAATTCAAAGGTAGAGAGATTCATATTTTATTTTTAAATAGTACTTGGATTACTGATTAACAAGTAAACTATTTGATCATATGCATTATATATTCTATATACAAACAGTTGTGCTATTACAAAACTCCATTGCAAGCAACCTTTTGTTTGGTAATACTGTCCCACATCACTCTAATTTTATTAATGAACTACTGGACCACCATAGGAATGTCTTGTGCTGAACACTTAAGCTATATTCCTGGAGTC